AAAAAAAAAAAAAAAAAAAAAAAAACCGATCTCCCCTACCATCGCTTCGGTTCTGCTAAAGAGTACGACGGCAACAGGGCGTTGTAGTCAACGACCCCACAGCATTATGCGATACTTACTGTGGGTCACCTAAAGGTTAATCACAGAAAACCCCAAAGAATAATCATAGATAGGAAAACAGATCTTAGATAGGAAAACCGAACGGCCGCTGAGAAAAAAACACGACCGCCGACCTCACTCGAGCCCACGACCTCAAGTGAAATCTCAGGGGAGAAAAAAAAAAAAAAGAAGGTTATTCCCTTAACTCCGAACAGCTCACGTTTCATGTGAGTTGAGAGGAAAAATATGTGGCTGTCCCTCGATGAAGTCGAAGGCAGTTTAGGAAAAAAAAAAAAAAAACGCCTCGCCACCTTTCACGCCGCGGCGATACCTTTCACCAAAGGGCGATGGTTGCCACAGAAATTAACGCGCACTGCTCCCACGACATGCGCTTCAGTTTCCCGTCAGTTGCTGTCAGGGGGATTGGGTGGGAATTTCCCTGAGAAACAAGCCGTCCCCACGCTTCGAGGCACCCAAAATGGATACTAAACATATCAGCAGGATAGTCGAGAACGACACGCACATCACCGCCGACCTGCGCCACTGGCGCTTGACAGTGTGCAGAAACTCAGCTTTGCAGGACAGACAGTCGAAGCAGCGCGCATTCGCCGAGTTCTTGAACAGACCGCAGTCCTCCTCCGTCAGCATGGTGGCGTCGCTCGCCTGGCTCGCCGTGCTCATGTTACTCATCCGGATGAACGTGGCCGTGTCGGGCGTTCGAGCGAATCCGCACCCAGCTGGGGGCTTGCAGCAGGACGCCTCCATCGCCGTCAGCTTGAAGTCGTCGTCAAGGTCCGCCAACGTGGTGCTCTCGTACTCGGAGAAATTGCCTGGATGCTTCATGAACCGCTTGCAGACTCCGCGGGTGAACCACAAACACCCGCGGATCTTGCCCCAGGTAGCATTGGCTCGGTATCTCTCCTGAAGCCAGTCGGACTCGGACGCACCCTCCTCACTGACGTGGAAGGCGAATACCGTAAAGGATAACAGCAGAAGAATGGACAACGTGAACACGATCAGGTGCATGCAAAACAGATGTCTCCCCTTACTCTTGCCCGTGTTCTCGCTGTTCCATTGCGCTAGTGCCACAGCTAGCAAAGAGTTGAGGCAGAGAACAATGCCGGTCAGCATCGAGGGAAGCAATAGAAAGCCCTCACACTTTGCAACACCTCCGATCGCGAAGAGCGTTCCACCTATCACAATACATAACGATGCGCCAAATGACAGAATACCAGAAAAAAAAATCCCGTCATTGGCAGTGAGCGCCATCCGTTCTCTCTTCTTCTTTCCCCCCCTCCTCCTCCTCCTCCTCCTCCTCCTCCGTCCTCCTCCCTTTCTGGTCCTGCTAGCGGTAATGATTTTCAGATTGCAAGGTCGGTTATCGACAACCCCGAAGGGCAAAGGATTCTCTTTCCCCACCCAGGCGCAACTGGCTACCGGTGCGAAACGGCGGACGACGGGCGGGGAACCGAGATCGCGGATTGAGGAGGCGGAGCGAACGGCACCGAGAAGCAGGCGATGGAGTGTGTGTGGTGGGAGGAGCGGAACCTGGTTTTTCGAAACCATGCAATTTTATGAATGAACCCGATGTGTGTGTCAGTTGGCCGGGGTTCCCCGTATGCCTACAATTAGGAGTAGTGGTCGGTAGGTAGTGTGAGGTGAGACGAACATAGCTTTAAAAAAATAAATAAATTTCAAAAATTGAAAGAGAAAGATTGTGTAATGGCAGAGGAAAGGGGAGGAGAGAGGGCCTCGCTCAACCACCAACGGACCAAACTCCATGTACGCGTGGTGAGTACTCGCCACGGGACTTTCCTTGGCAAAACGCAGCCTCTTTTCCACCAGTCACCACACCACAAGACAAGCCCGGGGCTGGTGGAGACTGGCGGCGGCCTTGTCTTGTAGTGAGGTGAGCTCACCGCTTTCGGTGAGAAAGGGCCTCGTTCCGTCCGCCACAAACAGTGGCGAGACTTGACGAGGCCGAAAAATGCATGTTTCTCGCGGAAAACGGCACATCTCCAAGTGATTTCGGACCCAAATTCTGACAGCGTCCATTTCGTGGCTATTGGCGATGCAGTGGAACGAAGTCGCATCCGCCATGCGTGGCGGATGGCGAGTAGTGGAACGAGGCCCAAAGTGCGCGAGGTTCCCCCACAACTCCGCCTTTGCAGGCGAGGAAAAGCAACTGCGTGGTGAGCGCTCTCACCGCGGTAAAGAAAAGAAAAAAAAAAACATTTGATGGTATTCGCGCCGCGGTGAGTGGTGGAGCGGTGAGGCCAGCACTTACCAACAGTGGTGGAGCGGGGAGGCCTCTGACCAACACTGCGTTCTGGTGAGTGGTGGAGAGAGACCCTTATGTGTGTCATCCGTGCGCAAAAAGGAGGCATACATGCTAATTACCCTTCTCTTTATCGTTCCAAATTTACCAGATGCCCCGGAGGACAGGCGGGGAACGCCGTGCTGTTCCCCCCCCCCACCACCCAAAAAAAAACAAAAAAAGAGGCCGTGCTGACTGGGCTGTGGCCGGATGTCCGGAGGACAGGCGGGGAGATCCAACGCCGTGGTGAGTGCTCACCACAGCCCACTCACCACGATAAAAAAGAAATAAAAATTGTTGACATTCGCGCCGTGGTGAGTGGTGGAGTGAGGCCCAGAGTCAAAAGGTGTAGCTGCCCGCCGCCTGCATGGCAGATTCGTGGAACCGTCAATAAACAGATCGATCGTGAAGTCAAATCCAATGGCGAATTTCTGAGAGAAAAAAAAGAAAAAATCCAATGGCGAATAGCCAGCCGAGTGATCTTCAGATCAAGACGAAGGATGAGCAGCATGAGCTGGATGGAACACTACTGTAGAGGGCGAGGTTTGAGCTTTGTTCTGGGTAACTGTGGCACTTTTTTGACTCCGGTTCAGGCGGGAACTCGAGGTCTTAGCGCGGGTCTACTCAGGGCTCAGGTCGGAACTGCGGTTCACGCGGGAACTCGAGGTCTTACCGGGGGTAACTCCAGTCTGCCTTGACCAATCAGAGCGCGTAACACTGAAATGCGAACATGGCGTCGAGCACGAAGGGGGACAAGCCGTGTCCATAGGCCCATTGGTACAGAATGGTGAAAGTACTGAAGTGCAGTGTTAACACCTGACGCACGCACACACCTGAGCACCTGGTGAAGTGCAGTGCTAACACCTGACGCACGCACACACCTGAGCACCTGAGCACCTCACTTCTCCGCTCTACTATCCCGACTTGCCAACGGAAATACAGAGAGATTTGTAGCGTGTACCTACTGGCCAATAGAGAGCAAGGGCCTCGCCACACCACTCTTGAAAACTCTTTTTCAAAAGTTGCTGCATCGCCACACAGCCTCTTGACACTAGGGGCAGTCAAGAGCTGTCAGAGTGGATCTTGAAACCCTTTCAAGAGCAGCAGCTCCTGAAAGATTGGAAACCCCAGCCTGCCTGCAACGCATGCGTTTCCAAGCGTCCTTGGCCAAACCCTTGACGGACTTCTCTATTGGTTTTCAAGAGTCGTCAGGCCGTTATCCTGACGCCCTGCGAAAAAAACAAAGCAGTATGACTCTCGTTTTTCATCCTGTGTCCAACGGCATCGCCCTTTCAAGAGTGCTGTGTGGCGAGGGGCCGAAAACTCTTGAAAACCCAACTCTTGAGAATGTCTGACAGCTCTTGACATATTTCCCTGTTTCAAGAGTGGTGTGGCGAAGCCCTAAAGCGGCAGCTTCTCTTTTTATAGGATGAGGGCATACTCACACTAGGGCCGATTTCAGGTCTTGGGTACGTTTCGGGTCGCATTGCGGTACCTTTTCAGATGGGACAAGGCCCTGGTCATCTGGAGCAATGGCGAGTTGGCGCTTTGCTGGTCACACGACAGCATCCACAAATTGTGAAAGAACTTTCGTGACCGAATTTTCACCAATTCTCAAAGAAAATGCAAAAAATGAAATAGGGCATTTGCGGTCACCTGAAATTCCATTGCCCCACGGCCATACACAAGGCCGCTGACAACTGGGCATACGAATGGTACATTTAGGACTTCGGCAAATCTGTGTGACCAGTCCTCTACCTTTGTTTGGAGAATTTGGGATTATAGGTCCCAGTGTGAGGGCATACTCACACACATGGCGTGTGATAAGCTCAGATCCGTACCGCACGGCTTGCCGTATCCCTGAGGAAAAATCCCGCGGAATCCCCAAAGTACGGACGCGGATAGAAAGGGGGTTTTCTTTCTTTTTGCTTTTGTTTTCTTTTTGAAACGGCTTTTTCATTTTGTTTGGTTAATAACTCCTGCGGGCGAATAGCGGCCGCAGTATGAAAACCAAGAAACGGGTGCGGTTGGGACTTTTTTAATTTTTGCGCGCGCACCCAAGCTCCGGTTTCTTCGAGCGTCTCGCATCCCCGTTTCTTGCTTTGCATCCTCGTGCCATCTTCCCTTCTTGCTGCGCGCGTTTTCCCCATGCAGGACCCTTCGTCTTCCCCTACACCCAGCTTGATCCTTACCCCGTCTTCCTCCGCGATGCTCGGATCAATGTGGAAAGCGGGAAATCGCGCACCACTTGGACGAACACCCCAATCACGTAGCCATGCAATCCCGCGGATCGAACCCTCTAACTCCTCACCCCTCTCTCCTGTCCTGCTCATCTACACCCTGCGCTGCCCGCACCTCGCGCTGTTAACCCGCCGCCTCCCGCGCTATAAATTTGCGCAACCCTCTCCTCTCCCTCTCTTTGATCTCGGCTGCAATGCTGCGCGAGCTATGCGCGAGAGTCCGCGGCGCCGAACAGGCTCGACGAGCCCAAGGACGGGCGGAGTGACGACGTGGGGTGGACCCCGCGGTAGTCTCGGGGCGAAGCAGTCGGAGGGACTGAGCAGTGGTGGGGATTGGACGCCGGCCGCAGCAGGGCCTTGTGGCTATGGTGGTCGGTGGTCTTGGGAAGTTTTGAAGGCTGCGCCTGGGGGCAGCAAATAATTTAATTTTTTGTGTACAAGAAGGACTCGCTTTTATCTCCATTGCTGCTTTGTCTATGCATGTCGTGTGTGTGAAGCCCCGAGTGATGGGAGCTGGTTATGCGCATGAGTGACGTCGAAGGTCCATGGATGATTAGATGTCCTGTCAAGGGTGGTTGATTGCATGCATGTATGTGTGCATGTACTCGTCCGGGCGGGGATGGGGAAACTGAACTGGGGGACCGTCTGCTTAGGAGTATGAGTGTGTTGATCCGGTTGTTCCCCTCCCCTCCGCGGCCTTTCCTGCGCTCCCGCGCGGGCCTGGCGTAACTGTCTCTCTCCCTTTTAGATCGCCTTCCTCTTAAACTAACAGTCATCGCCTTTTAGAGCTTCTCGTCCCCGTACCGGTGACGTCAACAGCCTGCGTCCGCGCAGACGGTCGACGCCCCCGCCAAGGGGAGAAAGCTTAGATTTCGTCATCCTCCCCCTATGCACCCACTTTTGAGAGAGAAGAGTTGCGACGTTTGTTGTATGGATTCGGTGTTGGTTCGGATGACCGGAAACGCGGGATCTTGCCCGTGTTCACCACGTACCTCCGATCGTCTCATTTCGCTACCGACCTTCCCCATCACAGATGACGACAGCGTCTACTGCGATGCGGACGTACGGCGCGCGCTGAGGCGGACGGAGCAAGTGTGTTGGCAAGACCCGCCTCGGGCTTGTGAGATAAGAGGGAACGGGTTTGTGTTGATTGATCGCTTTGATTCCCCGACTCTAATATTGCCTTATACGGGTTGAACGGTGTTGCCCTGGTCGGCCGCTCACGCCGCGTGGCGACCGCAGTTTGATTGTCGCTGGTGTCGCCAGGGGGACTCGTGTTCGTGGCGACGGCTGGTCCTGGGCTACGAGGGAGCGACACGTTTCCCCGAGCTTTCCCGTAGTGCGGGGGCGCTGCCCGCGTAATTTCGAATTCAGATGTCGGCGAGTCCTCCCGCCGCTCTACCCTCCCGGAAACTTCCGCGCGGGCTCTATGAGTCCGACGCCGAGGCTTGAAGGCCTCGAACCAACCACCTCTAGAGCAAAAAACCCGAGGGTTCGGCCACTTCGTGAGGCCGATGACGAGGCCTGAAGGCTTCGAACCCACCATCTATCCCCGAAACCCATGACGACCGGAGTTTTTGTCGTCTGCCGCCATGGCCTCCTCCCCTTGATGCCTTTT